CTCCCACCATCCAACCCATACCATCCCATCCTCCAACCCCCATCCCATCCCCTCCCCTCCCATCCCCTCCCCTCCCATCCCATCCCATCCCATCCCATCCCCTCCCACCTCGCCGTCCATCCACCTCGCCCGTCCACCCCCCAATCCACAACAAGACAAGCCACCCACCCGACCCGCACCCACAAACGCCCCCGTTCTCCATCGGCCCTTTTCCCTTCCCCCCTCCGCCCCATTGCTAACCACATGCAGCCAAGCGCGCCCCATGCTTTCCGCTTCCCGCCAGCTAGCCCGCCCTATTCGGGACAAGTACGTGACCCCCTATTCGAGCCCATTGCTGCCCGGCCTCCCGTGTCTTCTCCCTCACTTGACTTGCTCATTCACTCGCTCACTCACTTACTCATCCCACTCACTCTCCCCCTTCTCCGTCCGAGGCCGTCGCCGCGCTGCTTTGTCATCGTATGCACACACAGACACAGACACACACATACGCATTGGAGCGAGCCATGGCGGTTGTGCGCATGCTTGCTCATCAGACGGTCAACCCCGTGTGTGTTGTTATTTTGAATGCGCTTGGGGGCCTCGTTTCTGTCGCCTAGGTATGTGTGTACATGTATGTGGGCTGTACACAAAACACAAACCACACACTACAATACACACTACAATATGTGTGTGTGTGTGTGTGTGTGTATGCGTCACGCCGGCCTAGGTGCAAAGCTTGGAAGGCTCAAGGCACCATGGTGGGTAACTGATATCCGATCCTCGTAATGCGTAATGCCCCCCCCCCCCATGTTTCTGCCTCGTCAGGCTCCTCTTCACCCGGGAAGTCTAAGCGAATGAATGTTGGGAATTCCGCTTGTTGGCCGCTAGGTTGGCTTAGCCGGCATTTCTTGTCTAGGCCTGCCGCCCGTCTGTCGTCTTGTCTATATGTGCGTCGCCCGCGTCGCGTGTTTTTTTTCTTGTTTCTTTGGAACAGCGCCGCGCTTGGTGGGTTTGGTTTTCTTCTTGGTCGCTGACGTCGGTCTCTATTTTATTGGGCGAGCTTGATTGAGCTTCGAGGTGAAATAGTCGCGCTGTATTGCTCTTTGTATAATTCGTTGTTTGGGTGAAAGAGAAAGAGTAGATGAGAAAGAGATCGGGGAATCTGGACACTGAATCCGGTAATCGGTAATCGGTAATCGATAATCTTCGCCCTCGTCATCAACGTCACCATGGCAGTAAGAGCTTGGAAAGCGAATGCGCTGTCAGCAGCAGCAGCAGCAGCAGCATGGATCTTTGCAGCAACGGCGCTGGCCAAGGATCCCCAGGTCAGAGTGAAGAATGGCACATACGAAGGTCTCTACCTGCCCTCGTTTGACCAGGACATCTTTCTCGGGATCCCCTATGCTCAAGATACAGGAGGCCAGAACCGCTTCCGCATCCCCCAACCGCTCAACACCACCTGGGATGGCATCCGCACCGCCAAACAATACGGCCACACATGCCCCGATCCAACCCCCAACGACCCCTATGGCATGAGCGAAAACTGTCTCAACATCAACATTGTCCGCCCCGCCGGCCTCAACGCCTCGCAAGCCGCCTCCCTGCCCGTCGCCGTTTGGATCCACGGCGGCTCCTACCAGGTCGGCACCAGCTCGCTGCCCAACTACAACCTCACCTACCTCGTCCAACGCAGCGTCGAAATCGGCCAGCCCATTGTCGCAACCAGCATCAACTACCGCAAAGGCGGCTGGGGCATGCTGTACTCGCGCGAGATCCAGGGGACCGGCCAGACCAACCTCGCCCTCCGTGACATGCGGCACGCCCTCGCGTGGATTCAGGAAAACATTGCCGCTTTTGGCGGCAACAAGTCCCAAGTCACCATCTGGGGCGAATCCGCAGGCTCCTTTGCAGTCGGCCAGCTGCTGCTCAGCTACGGCGGCCGCACAGACGGCCTCTTCCACGGCAGTATCCAGCAATCCGGCTCGGCGGCCACGGCCTGGTACAACGGCTCAGACTGGTACCAGCCCATCTACGACAACATCGTCACACGCGCCAACTGCTCGTCCGCCATCGACACCCTCGCCTGTCTACGCACCGTACCCTATCCGCAAATGCTCCCCTTGCTCGCGGCCCCAAGCCAAGGCCCAGGCTGGTACCCGACCGTCGACGGCGACATCATCCCCGCCTACCCAACCCAACTCCTCGCCGCCGGCCGCTTCGCCCACGTCCCCCACCTCTACGGCACAAACTCGGACGAGGGCACCGACAACGCGCCCGCCAACGGCCTCATCAACACAACCGCTCAACTCTCCTCCTACCTCGCCCAGTCCACCGGCTTCGACTTCCCCGCCCCCGTCATCGACCGCATCCTCGCCCTCTACCCAGACGACCCGGCCCAAGGCATCCCCCTCAACACCGGCACCGAACGCTTCCCCGCCCAAGGCTACCAGTACAAACGCATCGCCGCCATCCTCGGCGACACCTTTTACCACGCCCCCCGCCTCGTCGACGCCCGCGCCTACGGCGCCCACGCACCCACATACATCTACCGCTTCAACACCCGCCCCTGGCAATCAAATCCCCTCGCCACCACCGGCGGCGACGCCCCGGCCTACAAGGGCGTCAGCCATTTCGCGGAAGTCGCCTTCATCTTTGCTAATCCGGCCTACTACGGCCCTTGGCCGGAATACAAGGACCTCAGTCGCCAGATGAGTGAGCAGTGGATCCGCTTCGTCGCTACGGGGAATCCAAATGCCCCGGGTTTGCCGGCTTGGCCGCGGTATGCAGAGGTTGGGGGTCCTGCGGTGCGTGGGGATGGTGCGGCAGATGGGTTGGATGCGATGAATCCAGTCAAAGCACTGGATGCACCAAATCGACAACAAACAACCCCCGGCACCCTCCTCGTCCTCCAAGCCACCGGCCGCGGCCAGAATGGCAGTCATGTCGAATCAGACACCTGGCGTCTTGCCGGACGCGAGTTTTTGAGTCGCTGGGCGCGTCGTAGACATGTTTGATTTCTTCTCGAATTTATCTTTGTCCGTTGAATGTTCATCTGGTTTTGGTTTGTGGTGTATGTGTTTTTCTAGTGGTCATATGCATAGTGGTCATGGGCATTAGTGGAAGGGGGGGGGGAGATTCTAATAGGGATTGAGAAGGGACCTTGTTGGATTTGGGAATCGGGGGAAAGGGGTTCAAGCAAAGGGAAAACCAGGTGTTCATGCTACTGTTTACAAGGAGGGGTATATATCCATCAATCTATCCATCTAGGTCCACTACTCAAGACAAATCCATCTCCCACCCTCACTCACTCCTCAATGCCCCCCCAGACAACCCTCCCCCACCAACTCCCAACACTCCCCTCCAACCCAAACGCCCTCACCACCGCCACAGCCACCGCCCCCAACACACTCACACCCCCCAACACCTTGACCACCACCGTGCCCCTCCTCCTTACCTCGTCTCCAAACCCGCACAACCCCAACGGATCCCGCGAGTCCAAGCCCGTCGCAGCAACAGCAGCAGCCATCCGATACCGAGGCGCAGCCTTGGCCCCTACACCACCACCACCACCACCAACACCATCAGCTAGTTTCTCATCATCCGCATGCCGCACAACCGCCCAATCAGCCCTGGGCGGCCCGCCAGTCGGCGCCCCAATAGTACCACGCTCGACCTCCTCGCCCACACGCTCGAGCAGCCATTTGGCGCGGTCTTGGCGCTGCAAGTCGTCGAAGCGGTCGCGTTCGTTGCGCAGACTGCGTTGCAGGTCCGTGGCCCATTTGGCGATGCGGACTTCGGACAGAGGGAGCTCGGTCTGGGCAGCCTGGTTGTAGCGGGCGAGCGAGAAGGCCGCCGGCTGCTCGGCGAGGTCCGAGGTTGTGAGGGAGGGGGAGGAGGCGGGGAAGGGGGAGTGGAGGTTCGAGGGGAAGAAGGGGGAGCCTGAGCGGGGGACTAGGACGCCGGACGGGGAGGCTAGGGAGAAGATGGAGGATGTGGTTGAGGCGTTTAGGACGGTGCGTTTGAGGCCGAGGGAAGCTGTGGTTGGGCTTTGTGGGTGTTGCAGCGGGTTGTTGGTGTGCGAGTCTCGGGGAAGTTTGGCCTTGCGCCATGCAAGGAAGCGCTTTGCTGCCGAGTGTCGGAGCCAGGAGATGGATTCTGGATCAAAGACCTGTGTGACGAGCGTGGAGAGCTCAGAAGGCAGTAAGGGCTGTACATAGTCCGGGGACATGAGTAGCGATGCATCCATAATGTCGTTGTCCGATCCAAGGGTGGACGAGATCGCAAATGGATACGTCGGCGTACTGAACGGATACTGTGACGGCTCTGGCTGTGCTGCCGAGTTTTGTGAGTTTGCCAGAATCGGTAAGCTTTGCACTGCAAGTAAGGCGTCTTCCAGGGGCTTGCCAAAGAAGAAGGGTCTAACTGAAGTTATCTGCAATCGAGCGAGTATGGATGTCTTCAGAGCTACCAAATCCTGAACTGAGACGGTATCTGCTTTTGCAATGACGGGTATCACATTAGTGAGGAAAGAGAGGCGTTGCATAAATTCCATGTCCCTGGTAATGTCCTGGTCTTTGTTGTCATGTTAGCAAGTACCGTCGTAGGCTGGTCTGGTGAACTCACCAGGTGGCAGGAGGTATAGCACCGCGTCAACCAAAACACCTCCACTCCCGCTGACGACACCCAGTACATCGCTATCCCCTAGATTAGTGACGGATGCTGTTTGAAACATCAACGACTCCACATAATTCATAATCATGCCCATGACCTCTTCATCCGTCGAGCGCTGCGACAGGCCAGGCGTGTCTACAAAGCAGATGTTTCTCTCCAAGACTGTGTCTACACTGCTCTTCCTCCTTTGCAGAATCCGGCTCTCATCAACATCTGTCCACCAATGCGGATATGGCTTGGTACTTGCGTGGACTTCAATTATTTGGATAGACTCGGTCTTCTTCCTCCCAGACGGCGATTTTGCTGTAGTCGACCGAGAGGCGGAGTGAGGCGGGGTGAGGGGGTCAACGTGCACAATGTCTTCGCATAGCTGGACAATGGACCGGATGAGGGACGTCTTTCCAATACCTGCATGATGTTATCAGCCGTGAGTCCACAGGATTGTACATTTGACAGATGCGTAATAGGTTTGAAAAGATGCGCCTACCAGACGGTCCGGCAACAAGGACCTTTAGCTTGCCCATAGCTTTGCCTTTGGTGGTAAATGGTCTTCTCCTTGGTATCTGTATACTGGGCATGACAAGTTGTGGAAAGCTGCCTGAGGCGCCTTGTTGTGTCTCCATGTCCGCATCTTCGTCTTCATCATCATCGCTAGAGGCTATGGCCTGACTCGCTACCTCGTCTGCCATGGACTCTTCTTCGTCGGATAGCTTCAGTGACTGCATAGACACTGATCCTCGCGGACTCGACCTAATTGACATGGGCATCGGAGAAGGCGCATCCGTCTTGGGCAGCGCGAAGGGTATCGGCGCAACAGGAGTGGACAGATTCCTGCTTGGTTGCTTCGATGGTGATGTCTTGGGGCTTTCTGTGGACTTTGCAGAGTCCTTTGAGGAGGTATGCGTCTCTATTCTTGGAGGCTCCTCGGCTGGTTGCTTCGAGTCACCGGGCCCCCCTTTCACTGCTGCTTCTATAGTGCGCTCCGCACCAAACGCAGCCTCGAGCGTGTCTGCCAGACTCTGCACCCCAAACGTAGGCTCTCGCTGCTTTCCTTTGCTTTCGGCGCCACTCGGTGTAGCAGCTATGGGCTCCAAGTCTTCGACCCGCTTCATGACGAAAGTGGTGGGGACATGGCTTGATGGAGGGACGGCCTGATCCACACTCGACTTGCGAGAGCGAGGCTTGGCCGACGAAGATGCAGACAGGGCGTCACCGCCCGGTAGCGGTCGCATGCTGGCGAGGAGTTGGGGGCATAGGTTGGCGGGACAAAGAGAGAGGGAGGGAGGAAGGGAGAAAGAGAAGATGGTTGTAGGTGTAGATATGGCCAGTTTCACAGTAACAGGGAACCTGGGGCTGAGATATGCTTGCTCCACTTGCGGTCACGGCCCCACTACCGTACACCCCGCGTCGCGCTTGGGTCGGCGCCATTCCAACTTAGTCTTGCGACAACACCGGCCAGACTGTTTGTCAAGGTGGAGAGAAAAGGAGACAGAGAAACAGAGGGTGAGAGAGGGAAAGCAAAGAGGGAGACAAGGGAAGCTGACAGAAGCGACCGAATTTGCATGTCTCCATGTACTTTTCAACTGCGCCCGTTTTCCCTCCACCAGAAAAGACGGGGGCCTCTCGCAAGCCCTCATCAGGTGACGCTGTCCAGTGTACGCAACACTGGCATCACACGTGCTGCTGCATCGAATTCAAGAATCGACTTGCTTGTTTCTTCTTCGTCATTCTCCCTTCCTCCTGCTCGCTCTTATCCTGCCCTCTCTACTCCTCGCCACCCTCGTCCCATCCATCGTTCGCCGCTGATCTTCTCTACCCCTCGAACAGACGCTACACCCTATCCTTATACCGACCCTATATCCCGCCCCCGTAGTCCGTCACCAGCCCCCTAGATAAAGCCGTCCGTACATGTGAGGAAATCAAGAATGCGCGCAATGAAGAGGAAAATGTGACAGACAAAACTGCTGCACGCAACAATAGAGGTACAGGAAGAAGAAAATGCAACGTAAAAAACCACTCGCTATGCAAGCGTTTTCCCCACACCCCGAAATAAAAGAACGCCCAGACTTTTTTTCTCCGACATGATGACTTTTATACAAGCGCTGGAAGAATCGAGTACAGTACATAGCTAGAACCGTCAGTCGTTAGGGGGAAAGTGGCAGCCTGCTCCTAGGAGAGTAGTGAGGAAAGAACAAGTGGAGAGCGGTCGGCGGCCTATCGAATGACTTCAAGCCTCCTGAGGAGCAGAAGCACCGCCTCGCCCGCCCCGGGCTGGACCACCACGCCCACGAGGGTTGAAGTTGCCGCGAGGCGCTCCACCACCCACCCCGCCGCGGCCTCGTGGAGCGCCACCGCGAGAGAAGCCTCCACGGCCGCCGAATTGTCCAGGGTTCGCACGACGCTCTTCGACCTTGATCTCAACACCGTTGACAGAGTGCGGGTTGGCGGCTACAACCGCCTGGAATCCAGCGGGCGTCTTGAAGTCAACAAAGGCGCAATTCTACCTTTTGTTAGTGTATGCATCGTGATTTTGGTTGCACATGGAATTACATACCTTGGTGCGGTTGATGTCGAGGTAGTCAATCTCACCGTACTTGGTGAGAAGGCTTCTCAAAGCAGCTTCCTCGACCTGGGGGAATACATTTTTTATGTACGCGCGCTTCTGGTCTGGGTCAGCAGCAGGCCCCGGGTTCTGGGCACGAGACTGCTCCTTCTTGTGACCGGTAGCAGTCTGCCAGCCAGCAGCTTCGCCTTGGCTGTTCGCAGGGGACTGTTCGCGAGCAGTCTCCTTTGCAGGGGCAGGCGTAGCAGCAGCCTGCTGCGACGGGGCGGCGGCCTTCGTCTGTGAAGCGGCTTGCTGGGCAGGTGCCGGCACGGCTGGAGTAGCAACTTTATGTGCAGAGGCTGCGAGACTGGCCCAAGTCCTGGGCTTCGGTGGGCCAGTGGGCATGGCGACGGGCGCAGCCTTGGGTGCCGCGGGAGCAGGTGTAGGAGCAGGCGCGGCAGGCTTCTCGGGCTCGGTGGCCTCTTCAGTAGCAGGGACTTCGGTTTCCTTGCTCGCGTCCTCGGTGATGGCCTCAGGCGCCTCCTCGGCCTGGGGCTGCTGGGTCTCCTCCGCTTCCTGCTGAGGCGGGGCGGCGGCGGCGGCGGCAGCAGCAGTGTCGTCGGATGGCTGCTCCTGCGCAACCTCCTCTAATTTGTCGTCAACCTTGTTCAGGTCCTCCTCGCTGGTCGCAGCTTGGTCGGCCTCGGCCTCAGGAACAGCGGTGGTGGGTGCGGGTTCGACAACGCCATTGGCAGTATCCTGCTGAGCCTCCTCGTCCTCCTCGGGCTCCTCGGCAAGGTAGCGGAAGATGTCATTCAGTACGAAGTAACCGTTGGTCTGCTCGGCGAGGACAAAGGTCTGGACGAAGCGCCTGTGAGGCTGGCCTTGGTTGGAGATCTCACCGATGACCTGGATGACGATGTTGGCGTCGGAGCCCTGCGAATCGACGTTCGTGACGCGGACTTTGGTGTCCTTGTATTCGAGCTCCTTGATGCGCTCATTGATAGCCTACCCACGCGTTAGCACGGCATCGACATGGTCCCTTGTGGATGTCTACCTTTTGGCCGAGGCACACATTGACCTTCTCCTCCTCGACACCAGAGACGTACTGGGAGCGCTTGTTGTAGAACAGCTAGATTTCAGGTTAGTCGCGTGGCCTGGGATGGATTTTATGCCAGAAAGAGGAAACGTACGTAGAGGCGGTCCGGGCTCTTGCTCAAGGTGGTGTAGTACTGCTCGACAAAGTACCAGCCGACCTCGTCCTTGGGGATTTCAGAGGCGGGTGCTTGCTGTGCGGGTTGGGCCGTGGGCTGCTGGCTGGGTGTGAAGTTGGAGGCGCCGGTGGAGTAGCTATTCTCGTAGCCTTGCGGCGCGTAGTTGCCATTGACAGGGCCGGACGATTCGCTGGTTGCCATTTTTCGAGAATGTGTCGAGTGCGAAATGGCTTGGACCGAGGATGTATTGGGGGGTTGTGCGCGGGACTTGGTCAGAATGCGACTGATTTGGCTGCACAAACAGTGAAATCTAGTGGGCTTGCGCTATCAGCCATTCCGTCATCAGCGGGCTATTCACGTGCCTGATAGAAAGAGCGCGCACATACATAGTCTTGTTGACGCACACCCACACACAGAGTCTCAGAGAGTAAATGCGACGGAGGGGGGGCTAGAAGCGAGATAGGAGGGGTTGGATTATACTGCAGAAATATATGCGAGATGTCTCTCAGAAGACAAGGGGAGTGATGGGATCAAATCGGGTGGGGGGGCAAATGGGGGGTTGCTGGTCGTTGGAGGTTGTGGGCGCGAATCCAAGTGGGTGAGTAACAAATTGCGGTTCGTAAATCCCAAAATGCTGGTCTGTGCGTTTTGGCAGCCGAAAGGGAAGGAGCTGGAACCACAGTAGCGCATCCGCCATGTCCGCCATGCTTCCCTTCATCCCCCCCCCCCCCCACACACACACACACACTGTCCCAGCCCCTATTGACTACGACAGGCGACACACACACACACATATATATATATATATTCGGGATTGAATGTATCCTATAAGCCTATAATATGGCGACATGATACTTGCATAGCTTCCCTTGCGAATTCACGCAACAGCTTCAGCAACAAACCATACTCATGCGCTCGGGTAGTTTGAGTATCATGTGATTTGCCACTGCTACATTATGGCTATTTTCATAGCACAAGACAAGTAACGTGATCCTCAAACTAGCCGGCATAACTAGTACCTCACCCATCCAAAACAAACCCTCCTAACATACCTACTCGTCCCGTGAAAAACGAAAAACCCCCACGAAATCCCACTTGCACAAATGTCTCACAAACCTCGAGCAGATCTGGGGTAAACAGCATTGCGCACTGGCATTGAAGCTACTTATTCCACCACTGAGACAACATGGAGAACTCAAAGCCCAAGTTCCCAGCACGGCTCTCAACCAAAACATGCGACTTTCCTCCCATACATATCAAGGCCAGGCCACCAACATGTGCTAGATACTACACCTTCCACTCAAGCCCTATGTGAAAAGACATGATCAAATCTCAGCTGACAAACTCCCATCCCAACGGTACGGAATCACAACATGCATCCTTGAACATCGCAACAAACACAGCAGATAAGCCAGATAGATATCCACTATACATCTCAACCCACAGCACAGTGGAAGACGGTGTCGAGTTAGTTGACTTGAGCACTCGAACTGTGTGTTGCATCGGGGGATGTGGGGGTTATTATAAATCGGGAAAAGGGGCAGGGGTTCATGTGGAGAGAAGGTAAAATAACACCACGCCATACCACAATCACTCAAGTCTTCAATCACTCAAAATAACGAGCACTTCTTGGTCCTGGTTGTCGCAATCCAAATGTTCGATGAATCAAAACACTACACTGGCATCTTCCTCAAGCCTTCTGAATACGCCCACAATGCAGCCCCAGGTCTCCTTAACAAGACAAGCAACTCAGACGGTTACAAGGCCCTGGAAGATGCAAGACTATATTTTTCCCAAACCCCCCCCCTTTAGATTGATAATGTGCCTTCATCTCTGTATAGATAGCCGGTGAGAGCTTACACTGACTCCCAACTAAAATCCCATAGCCTGTCGCATGACCCTCTACTCTTCCACAGTCTAATCGTATCTCGGATCCTCACCACTCGGCGCAGGCGTAGCAACATCCCAACCACCCGGCGTTGGCGCAGCCGCAGGGGTATTGCCATATCTCGCGTCTCCAGGTGTAGCCGCCATGTAGTTTCCAGGCGTGGGTGCATCCATGGGTGGTCCACCCGGCGTAGGAGCGCTGTACGCACCGTAACCCCCAGGGGTGGGCGCCGCGTAGCCACCAGGCGAAGGTGCACTATATGCACCCGGTGTAGGTGCGGAAATGGGCTTCGATGCACCACCAGACACGCCGCCCCAAGCAGGAGTGCGGGATCCAGAGTTGGAGTTGAAACCACCATAGGCAGTACGGCTGCCGTCGTTGCCGCCGTAAGCGGTGCCGCCGCCGTAAGATGTCGCTCCTCCGTAGGCCGTGGCGCCGCCATAGGCTGTGCGGCTTCCATCGCCGCCGTAGGCAGTACGTGAGCCATCATTGCCCCCGTAAGCTGTGCGGTTGCCGTCGTTGCCACCCCAGCCGGGGGTTCGTCCTCCACCACCGCCCCAGCCTGGCGTGCGACCTCCAGCTGGAGTGTTACCGCTGCCCCAGGATGGGCCGCGAGCACTGGAACCACCCCAAGCAGGAGTGCGTCCACCAGCACCGCCGCCGGAACCGCCATAACTTGTACTGCCGCCGGAGAAGCCTCCGCGGGAACGGTTGGGGAACTTGCCGCCAGTAAAGTCGAGGCTGTTGCCGGTGATTGGGTCTTTGACAGTGAGGAGTTCCTTCTTTACGGATACCTGCTTGTTCTTGGTGTGCAATTCAATGCGGGCTTCGTCGTTCATCGTGTCTTTGACGATACCCAAAAGACCCTTGTAAGCACCTTTGCGAATGACAACAGTCTTTCCAATCAGCTTGTCGCGACCAAAGCTTCGTGGTGGAGGCATGGCAGCGCCATTGGCACCCGCACCTGCATTAAGAGCCGGGTTCAGGCCACTGAGATCGGGCCCCTGAGCTTGAGCGCGACCACTCTTGGCCGCCATTGTGATGACGTTCGTGCTGCGGACCACAAAGATACCCTGGTTCTCGACAAGTTCCCGATTTCGAACGAACAGAGTACCGCGGTGGATGAAAAGGACCTTTCCGTGACGTCCTTCGCCGGCAAATTCCTTGACATCGTCTTCATGCCTGATCTCGGAGCCATCACGGTCTGTAGCTACTGCATGCTTATTGATGCCTACAACTTGCGAGACCTGAGTCTGAAGGAGTGTTCTAACGTCGCCATGTTGATCAACGACTCGCAGAACCTCACGGTCGACCCTGACCACACAACCAATAGTGGAAGCACTGGATACCTGTTAGATTTCGTTCATATATCGCAGAAACCGTGACTTACTCAATCTGGACCAGATCATAAAGATCGAAGTTAGAGTCGGCACCAAGGTTGGCAGAGTCAGCAGCGCGCTTCAGATCCTTGCTAAAGACCGTAATCTCTGCTTGTGTCGAGTCACAGAGTAGGGTGATCTTATCATCCTTGATTCTAGTGACGAGACCGACTTCGTCGACGTACTTGCTGCCACCAATAACCTTGACGTGATCACCTTCACGGAACAACTTCCTGAGAGTCTTGACGGGAGCATCGATTCTCCTTCCGCGAAGTTCGCCTTCACTGACTCGAAGGGTGACAATGTCACCAATGACAGTGACCGTCGAACCGCGAATACCTTTTTGTTCACCAGTGTAGATCTCCACGTTGTCACCAGCAGCGAAAGCGGCCCCTGAGTCAGCAGCCTTCTGCGCTGCCTGGACTGCCACGAGATCCAGGGTTTCGGAGCCATCAGCATTCTGGACCGAGAAGAACTGCAGCTCCTCCATCCTTGGGTTGACTTTTTCTGTGCTGACCCAGTTGACCTTGACTTCTTTAATCAAGAAACCGTTCTGGTAGTCCTCGCCCTTGTATGTGTATGCTCGTTGGTTACCCGAGCCTGTCATGCTGAGATGCTTCATGTGCCGCTTCTTTGCCTCGGCCTCATTGAAGAGCTTCGCAGGTGGGCGTTCAGTCTGTCGACCAAAGAAGCCGCCTCGCTTGCGCTTATTGTCGATAGCGGCATTGGCGTCCTCGTTCAGACCATAGTCGAGACGAGGCACGAGCTGTACAACGCAATCGAGACCATTGGTAGAGACCTCGACAACCTTTGCCAAATCGCCCTTGTATGTCGGCGGTCGCAACATGCGCACGAATTTGCCAACTTCTAGTGGCGCCCGCTTCTTCTTTCGCAGAAGATCTGGACGCTCTTTTGGTGGAATGGAGAACTGGTCGGAGCCCATGAAGACATTCTGGATACCCTCGAGCAGCTCAATGACGGCCGCCTTGGAGTCAGCTTCGACATACAGGAAACCAGACTGGGGTCCGGTGGGTCCTCGTTCAAAGGCCGAGTAGACGTTGATGGGCTGTTTCGTGCGCATCTTGTCGTCAATACGCTTCTGTATCGACATGATAATCTCGCGCTCCTTGCCTGGACGACACTTGCAGCCCCAAATCGAAGGATCGTCGACTGTGGGCAGAGCCAGTGGGACTGCGCCGGCAGCCCCCCGGCGAGCACTCTGCATCTCTCTCCGCCTGTACTTCTCGTCGAATTCTTTTGCCAGCTCCTCGACATCCTTTTGTGCATTGACTTCGCGACGCATGTCGAGCTCGCGGTGGTGGCGATCATCGAGTTCAGCGTCGGTGGGTCCGAGGAGGTCATCAGGGTGGACTTCGCTCACAGCATCATCCTCGCCCTCGTCTTCCTCCTCCTCGTCTTCGTCAACTTCGGCTTCAACATCGATGAACATGTTGCGCTTCTGCTTCTTCCGTCGCTTTGCAGGTCGAGCCTGCTTCATGTCAGCATGTCACCTTCATGGCCCACCCACACTTGGAATACGTACCACGACGTCTTCATCCTCATCCTCTTCGTCATCCTCTTCATCGTCGTCATCGTCGAGATCTATGCCACCACCCTCTTCATCATCCTCATTGTCGCCAGTCATGGTCGGCGCGTCTCCCTCATCTTCGTCATCTTCATCCGGGGCGGCGCTGCGCGAGGCCGCGTTGGTCGGTGCAACGTCATCCTCGTCGATCTCAGTAACTGGGTTGAAGTCCTCCTCCTCGGACTCGTGGTCGCTGCCATACGAGGCCATTGTTGTGGAAAAATGTGAGTGGAGTGAGGTGAGTGGCCAAGGGTTGTCAGTGGTCGGTTTGAATAGATCTGTCGCGAACTGGGTAAAAGAGGTAGGCGCGGCGCGCGGATGAGGAAGATGCCGAAGCTCGCTATGGCAAGCGAAGCGCGTGCACCAGATAGCGCACGGTAGAAGAGGAAAAAGAGGTGAAGGAGAAGGGAAAACGGGGAGAAAGCGTCGTGTCCACGGGCAAAGGGCTTTGTTATAAAGTTGTGAGGACGTAGGACTGGCCAGCTGCCAGGGTGCAACCAAAGGAAAGCGCGCTAGTGCCTATCCGCCGCTAGTCATAATCGGCTAGACTCTACCCTCCAGGCAACTTCCACTTCACTCATCTCCGGCATTGCTGTTGGTGAATAAGTGGCCTCATGCTCCATGTCTGGTATGGATCCTGTCGGAATCTGGTAAATATATACTGAGCTTCCCTCGCACTTTCAGAACTCCTCCAACGCCTTCTTAATTTTTGTCTTTCTCAAACATACACTGTCCGTGAAACAGTCTGTCACTAGTGAGACGACGAACTACTCAATGCCCCCTCACGATTGATCGAAAAAGTATGAAATACATTTGAAAAAGATATAATTCTTAAAATAACACAACACGGCAGCATCGGTAGAGATTCTACGAGCAATAAAGATATTGCCCACAAGTAGATCCCAAGATGCATGACTAAAACATGGACAATACATGTTCTGTAAGGTGAGCTAAGAATTTGTCATTACCAAATCCTCAGCAGATCAACATTTCGTATTTCTCAGTTCTCTGACTCGTAGGTATTCTGTCAGCCTCGTAGACACAAAAACCTGTCGATCCACCGCTACCGCCCTGGTAGCGGTTCGTTCCGGAGGCTTCCGGATCAGCAAACCTTTTGCAGTCCCTCACTGAACCCCTGCATAAATCACCTCTTGTGCCGATACGACAGATACCTACTTGATGTATTTTTTACGAGTAGGTATGCAAATTATAGCCTTGCCTTATTCGCATCTTCCGCTTCGGCGCTTTCGTCGATTCTCAAGATGGCTCTTCCCCAAGCCTTATGCTCCTTTGCATCCTCCAGTGCTCTGGGTACAGCCTCAAGCCCCATGTACACCTCCTTGTAGATCACTGGCTTAATCCTCCGGGCATCCACAAGCTTCATGAAACCCTCCCAGACATTCTTTGTTCTTTGGGGATCTCTTCTACCGTCCTCTCCAAATCTCTGTCGTGTTGAATTAGTATGATATCTTCAAACCATCCTGATATTCAAAGGGGGAGGAAGCAACACTTACGTAGCCATGCACCATGACACTCTTCAATAAAATCCTATTCGCCCTCACTTTCTCCACGTTTCCTCCTCTTCCCGCAAAACCCACCACGACCAATCTCCCCCTATACTTTAAACACTTGATCCCACTCTCCACAGCCCCAATTCCATCAAACACCACATCCACTCCCTCTTCACCCTCCGTGAGTTTCCTAACTCTATCCTCCCACCCCTCTTCCTCATAACTGACCACTTCATCCGCCCCAATCCCCCTTACCACCTCCCCCTTCTCCCTCCCCCCAACAACAGCAATCACCCTCGCCCCAACCGCCCTCCCAATCTGCACCGCCATAACGCCCAATCCCCCACTTGCTCCAAGCACCAACACCGTCTCCCCCCTTTCCAACCCCGCCACATCCATCAAAGCACCATAACTCACCGCACCGCTTACCCCAACCGCACAAGCACCAGCATTACCCCACTGCGCAGGCACTCGGCGTACATTTCCCTCTGCAACGCAGATATCCCCCGCGTAAGCACCAAGTCCGGAGCCGAAGACTGGGGTGCCTGGAGGAAATAAAGAGCTCGATGGACCGGATAACACGATGCCGGCGAATTCAGTGCCGAGAATAAACGGTGGTTGGACATGGCGTTTATTGTTTTGATGAAGGCCTTGGGCGTAGAGCAGGTCGACGTGGGTTATTGCCGCATGAGTGATTTTCACTCGCAGGGGTTCAGAGATGCTGGGTTGGGGGCTTGGTACATCATTGGGGACGAGGGTTTTGAGATTCTAAAATCATGAGGTTCTTAGTTGAGAGGGATGTTTGGGAGGGGAAGGTGAAGTGGGGGGTTCAGATGGCAGATTTACAGTGACGAATTCTGTGATTTGGATGGCTTTCATGATGACGGAAGCAGGGGGATTGACGGTAGATTTAGTTGCGGGTTGATTATTGATAAGAATTTTTAAACTACATGGCCAGTGCAGGTTGTGATGTACAATATGTAGGGATGACTACTGTGGAATACGACGGGCGTGTTTACGTGTGTACGTGGTCGACTCGTGTGGGGCGATAGTTGATAGACCAAATTACCGAGGTGTTAGACAATACTGGTACCAGGTAGGACACATCTCTGTGGCGCAACAACATCAAACAATAGTCACAATGTCATACGGATCTTACAGTGTACAAGATCAAAAACAGCCATCCGAGTAAACAAGTCGGATAGAAAGGAAGCATTTACCCTGATCGGCAGATGCAACTTGTCGGACACTGATCATGCAATTCGACCGAATCCACGTCGCTTGAATCCCAAGAACCTCAATGATGACGGCCGCGCAACACCGCTCAAAGAGTGATTAGGAGATCGCGAGACTGGGCACTGTGCACATGTGGATGGTAGTGCATCGTTCGGTGTAAGTCTACCTCTCTACCCATCTGTCTCATCCGGGATATGTAGGGGCTGCGCCACCCCCAGCGTGGCTGGCGCAGTTCCCTGGCGCGGCCCGCCGAATGCTACCGCATCAAAGAGCACGAACTAGACGTGTAAATGCTTGTCTGATAGCATCTCACATATGAACCAAGCCAAGCGAAAAACAGCGGAGACATCACGATAATAAAAATGGACCAGAAGTTTCTTTCACCGATTTTATTGAATTGTTTCCCCTCATCTCCTAGGAGAGACCATGATGCGTGCAACGATCCACGCGAGCTTTGACATAGGTACAATATATACAGAAAAAACAAGGTACAATATATACAGAAAGAACAAGGTACAATATATACAGAAAAAATAAGGTACAATATATACAGAAACAGTAAACTCTCCGAGCCATAGAACAAACACCTCTCAGAAGCAAGATTCTACTCCTCACAGGGTCTCTCCAGTGTTATTTACATCTTCGCACTCCTTCTAGTACTTGGGGGTCCTCTTCTGGACGTTGCGGCGGGCGCCGGTGTCGACGGACGGAGAGCTGGGGGGAAGGGATCTGTTGGCGCGGGGAGCGGCAGATCCGGATCTGGCACCAACCTCAAGGATGTTGTCCTGGCCTGCAAGGACTGTTAGTGGACGAATTCTGTGAAACGGTTTCAGGTTGAGACGACTTACCGAGAGTGTTCTGGACGAAGCGAGAGTTGAACTTGACGACACGCTTGATGCTGTTGAAGTCGGCAACGCTGATGTCAAGGGGCTTCTCAACGATCAAGAAGGTGACGCCCTCGGCGCAGGGAGGGGTGGTGAGCGATCCAGAGTAGGAGAGAACGTTGGAGGCCCGGATGGTGGAGATGACATCGCTGAAGTCGATACCTTTCGCGATAGGAGTCGTGGTACCCGGAGTTGCGATCTTGGGCACGGCGGCAGAGAGAGAGCGGATGATGGAGCTGGATCTACGGGCAGAAACCTCGAACATGAGGGCAACGACGGCGAGCTGAGTGTTGTCGGCTAAGTGAATGTGTTAGCCGGGACTCTGCAAGTTGTTGTGACAGTGGTTTACTTACCGACACCCTGGTGGACCATGTGGATTTCCAAGGGGTAGTATTCGCTGTTGATGTGGTGCTCAGAGGGAGTGTGCATGTGGAACTGGACGAGCCGGAAGGCGGTGCCACCAATGTCGGTGGTTCCGTTGACGATGACCTCGATGGTCGTGCCCAAGTTCTCAAACTCGACCGGGCCAGCAGGGATGTTCAACACAGGCTTTGCTGTGGCGGGCCTGATGGTGCCATCTGTGATGGTGTTAGCTTTGCTATGATCAAGTGAAAGTAACACTCGAGGACTCACCAATGTTGATGGGAGACTGGTTGCGTCCAGTTCTGCAGGCCTCGTTCTCAGGTGCAAGTGCAGCCCAGTTGAAAGGACCATTCATTGGGCCAAAACCGAAGCTGTTGACTTCGGTGGTTGCGCGCTTGAACATGGAGAGTCCATGAGTGCAAGTGGCGGTTGCCGTGGAGGCAAGGAACAAGACGTTGAAGAGCATGATGAATAGAGGAGGTGTAAGAGGTTGACTGGCGAAGAGAAGACCTTGTGGTAGTAGTGAAGAAGAGAAGAGGAGATGAGTGAATGATGGTTGAAACGAAGTCTCGGGTGTCGTTATTTATGTATGATAGGAGGTGCAGTGAATCTTCGAGCAAACAACAAAAGTGGAGTCACGATCCGGAAGAAACCATCAGGATCAACCCGAAAGTGATTACGAAGAGCAAGTTCAGAAAGAGGTCCGAGATGGAAGAGGTTGCCAATAAGCCCGCTAGATCACCAGCTACCAAGAGAGTCCGGCGATTGGGGATAGACAATGGCTAAGAGGTAATAGAATGTCTTGATTCTTGATCAGAAACGGACCGTTACAAAGAATAGAACAAGAAATGAGAAGAATCGCGGGCACACAAGCAAGAGACGCGGACGAAGGCAATACCAAGTTCCAAGATATAGAAAATGCCCGCTACAGTCTTCACCCTGGCCCTTCCAAGATCCCTCAGAGTCGTATGTTCTTGCAAACCCTGAGCGCAGGCCAAGATGCTCGGGAATGGCCAAGTCGAACAGTAAGAACCCCCGCGGGAGCCCATTGTGATTGGGATCGCACGTCGTGTTGGCAATCAGAGGCGTCTGCAGCGCACCAAAGGATGGCCGGCCAAGATGAGATGGTGTTTACGAAATGCCCAGCGCTATGCCGCAGGGATCAAGGCTCTGTGATGAGCCTTGTTGCCTGAGACGCTGGGAGGTGGGATTATCTGTACTATAGTAGAGAGCTGCTATACCTAGTCATACATAAATAGCTGGTCTTGTGGGGAGCGAGGGCAGGCAGGGGGGGGGGGAGGGCATGCGGCGTTGACAGGTTGGACATGCAAAGGTGTTGTACAGTACGGTGGATACCGGTATAGTTGGAGTCTTGGAGATGAGTTCTGCATAGGTACAAAGACGGTAGCAACCTGTTACTGTACCCTGCTTTAGCGCAGTCCACTCCCGCAACCTTTCCATGATGCAAGTCGTCTAGTGCACGCGAGGGACTCGTGCATGCATGGCAGGTATGTGCTTGTAACATAGTGCGGCCTTTCCGAATCTCCAAAAGCACGGTGGGAGAGATCGATAGCTAGTGGGTTTGCACGCCTCCTGCGATCGCGAGTCGTCACGCAGCAGCAGAGCTCCAGGGCGCTGGAACGACCCAGATTCACCAACACCACCCCACCCTGAAACTTACAGAGCAGCCCGTCTTGGTCCTTCAACGGCAGAGAGGCTCGAATGGGATCGGTGGCCGTTAGGTAAGTGCCTGGGCCTGCCAAGCACGTTTCCCAGACTCGACGTTTCGAAGTGGTCTGATTTCCGAGGGTGAAGGAGTGGGCGAACAGTGGGCGGAAGCGAGCAACGTCGGAGGACCCTGACGTGGCGCAGGCCAAGGCGACGAGGTGACTAAGAAAGATTGGAAGGCTTTTGGTACGCTCGGCGGCTGTGTCCGGGGTGTGGTGGGTTGGTGGGTTGGTGGGTTGGTGGGTGTGGTGGAGATGGTGGAGATGGTGGGGGAGAAGAGAGGAGGAAGACGACTCCTGTTGCTGCTTGTTGCTTGACTTGGTACCGTACCTACCATTACCTACCGTACTACCACCAATACCCTACCATATTGCATGTAGCATGTTGCGTGGATGGCTAGAGTAGTACTACAGTAGCTACCTAACACCACACAGCATCGTTGTACAGTACCGGTACCGATACTCGTTGGTAGGCATCCTCGCTTACCTAAGCTTACCTAACCCAACCTAATCTTAGTCCCTAGGAATAGCTACCCTTACTACTACATGGGGCCACGTCCCACTCCACTCGACGCAACAGTTACGCCATGCCCAGCTTCTTTCCACCTCCTCATAGTACCCCAGGCTACCTTTCTGGTCGTCATCAAGTCACTGGAGTGGACATGGACATGGACATGGCATCCTTGGACATCTTCGACATCTAATCTCCATCACACTTGGTACTCTCCTCGTCTTTTCATCCATCGAAAATGTCCAATTTTTTTTTGGTGACTTCACGTTAGCGCCGTACATAAAGCAGAAAGTGCCTTTGTCCGCGTCCGCTTCTGCGACCGAGTAGCTGGAGCCGATGGCGAGCTGCCAGCCGCGGGAGCCGAACCCCCTTGGCAAAGTCTTGAAAACGCCTCGTGCATGGGGCACTTACCCACTGGGCCATGAGTTTGGCACGGTACGCCCGCGACTCGAGTAGGTACACGAGGTACACCGTACAGTAGAGTACATATGGCAGCCATTTATCGCAATCGCGACAAGACTACCAAGAAATGTCGTGGTTGGACGACGAGCCTACCGGTCCTCGGTGACGATCGTCGCCGGGCAAGACTCCCGTGTGAGCAGAGGCAAACATGGGCAAGCTGGCAAAATCCATTTTTCAGGGGCCCTGTTTCAGTGTCCGCATCATGGGCGTCCCGAGAAACTGGCCCACGTGGTGGCATGCAACTCTATCTCGAAGAGGTTTTGACGGTCAACCAGGTGTCTAGGACTGGTGGTGGCGCAGAGTGCATATGAGAACCTCAGCCTGCCCCGAGTCCCTGTGTCTCAAGTCAGAGGTACAGAACCATACCTAGTCATCCTGTTGTCGCGATCAACAACCTGTCAGCACCTTACTCCAACATCGCCAGGCAAACACTACCCTTCTTCCACTGTCCAGAGCCGCTCATCGGCCGCAGCGCTAAGGCACAGTTCGACATGAGCCTCTTGAGCCTTCAAATCAAGACCGAGAGCCTAGTGTTTACGCAATTAAAAGCAACGCATGCCATTTCTCGTCAGGCCTTATGTTCGGTCGCACTCGCTTCCTTCGACATTGGCAAAGCGACACGTGCAACTCCTCTGCCCAGGTGCAGGTACCAGCTGGTTTCTGTCCAAGATGCCAAAGCAAACACCAAACTCTGCCCAGACTGATGCCAGGATGTCTTCTTGAACCGTCACTTCGCTGTGGCCCTACCGTTTCGATCGGTCCACCTTCCGATCGGGACGCTCGGTCTTGTTTTTGCTTGTCCTTCTAGCCAAAACTAGCACTCCCGGCTTTACTATGGTGACTCAGCCACCACCACAGTGCCGTCCCGGCGTCCCTTTAACCTTTTTCTGGATGTTTTAGGGAGAAGCTGTCATGAAGCTTCTGTGGATATTGTTTTCTCCGCTGTCCCGACATGTCGCAATGGTTGTTGATTGCACCATAGTTTGATTGCGACGGGGTGTACCAAGAGACCGCTCTACAAACGCGCCTGGTGCTAGTTCAAGTAAGAGTGGCGACAAAGAGGAGAGAGACCGTTGTGTTGAAAGTACTGTTAGGGAATATATGTTCCTAACAGGGTAAAGCGTTAGGGTGCCTGCATCCGACCGTTCAAGTCACCGCGGTCAAGTTAAGAACAAGCTCACAATAGAGCCAGAGAAAATCGCCTTCACCGAGGCCGGATAAGGAACGAACCGACTTCTCTTCTAGAAATGTCCTAATCATCAAGACCGGATTAAGAAAGACCCGGGCAACAGTCCCTGGAAACCTCCACCAAGGCGAGTTCAGTAATGACCAAGATTCTCCAAGGTTTCGAAGAATATAGTATTACGCACACCAGCTCCACTGAATAGTAACCTTGGAAAACCAAAATTGGACCGAGGAGAAAACCATGAATCTTAATCATCTTTTGCCTATCCAGGCCATGAAGCTTCGCCACTACAACGTTTTGATCGCCGATTTCACTAGACGGCTGAGGCTCACTGAAAATATAATCTGACTTGGTACGGATAGATCCCTAATATGACCCTTTCCCGGTGGTCAGAACCTTAATCATTAGATGTAGACGTACCCTCAAGCTCCCGTCAGAACCCCTTGGAGAGCCCGTCAAAGGACCAGTCCGCATTACTGAAGTGTTTGGAACGCACCAACCATCACCGGGACTTCATCATCGCCACTTGCTACAGGCCCATTGCTTGAGACAGGAACCGAGAACGTGCACGCTCTCTCTCCGACGTCTCCACGCTGCATAGTATCGCCGCCTCGGTGTCGGGACTCGGTCTGACGGAACCAAAAGCCGCAACTCAAACCATCAATGCGGAACAATCGCAATACGCTACCTGACAACGCGAAAGAAGCTACTTGGCCATGCGAAAAGGTACTTGACCATGTGTAAAGCTACCTGAATTGACAAAAACGTGCATATCCTTTCTGTGATCCCCCTCTCTTATTGCCCCCAAATCTAGCTCTTTGCCATATCACCTAGCATACAACTCAGGCATCCCCCCATCTTCCACGTGCGTATGCAAAGGAAGCAATGCCCCCTGTTCTCTGCATTAGTATGCAGGGCCATGTATGTCCGGACTATTTGCACTGCCAAAGCAACTAACAAAGTACCAAGCCAGCACTTGGTAAAAAGCTCCGACGAAGCACTAACAAAGCACGGCATCAGGCAGAGGTACATGCTAACGAATCAAACCACCCAACACTACTGCAAACCACCTCAAAGCACTAACTGCACTTGCTCTCCACCTCCCAAGCCAAAGCTAGTCCACAACAAAAGCCCAAGAAAATCCCCAAGACACTCGGTACGACAAGCTGTAGGTCAAGCTGTATGGACTAGCAACTCCTGATCGCATACCAACTCCATAGAAACTTGCCACAGTGAAACATACGAGCTTCGACGCATCTCCCTTTGCCCCAAAACAGTAGACAATTCCGCGGCTACATATCGTCTACACTGTTTACAGCGTCGATGCACAAGATAACATCACCCTAATGATAAACCGTTGGCGCCAATTCCCATATCCAGTCCAGCCCTATCGCCCTCCCTGCCCTGCCTTCCCGCCGACTGACCAGGCCCATCTCAGACTTTCCCTGTTTATTCTCCGATTGTCTCCACACTTGTCTTGTATTCTTCTCATCCAGATTTGTCCCTATCTCGGACGCTGACTCTCTTTGCCTCTCTTGGCTCTCTCTCTCTCTCTGCCTAACCTGCTCACCTCCCTACCTCCCTACTCACCCACCCGCTCGTCCGATTCCCGAGATCCGACATCCACTCTGTCTGGACCTGATTCGCACTGCAGCCAAGCGAGCAGATCGGGACTCTTTTGGTTTGAACCTTGATTGTCTTGGACTGCGTGCGTGGTTTTACGCTTTTCTTGTCTTGCGGCTTGGGTAATTAGCCGCATGCGAGGGAAGGGAGGCAGAGGGGGGTTCGGAGGGATTTTGGGGTGGCGTATGTGGTATGTGGGGAGTTGGAGAGGCGTGAGGAGAAGGGGGAGAGGAGAGTTGGAGGTGTTGGGAAAGGGGGAGGTTGGTAGGGATTTTACTTTGACAGATTTTTAAGATGGAGGAAGGTTGAGATTCTGTAAACTTTGATGAACTTGTCGTTTTGTAATTGTTCGAATTGTTTCATAGGGTCAATGTTTTGATCTGATATCTTCTTTGCATTGTGGTTATTTTGATACTCTCCAACCACTTTTGTTTCGTTCTTATACCCTGACCTTCTGGGACTTAGATTTACTTCGAATTCAAAACATTCTACCGTTTATATTCACTCCATTTCCCAGCTTTTCAAACTCGAACTTCACTCTGCCCCCCCAACCTTTTACGCGTTAACTCTGCTACATCTTTCACCACCACCAGCCACATAAGCCAACCCATCATAAACCACACCTCCAACTTCCCCACGCAAGTTTTGACCTCGCAATCATCCTCCTTCCTAAGCGGGCTAAGGCTGGAGGGCTAGCGCATCCCACACAGCTTGAGGGGGGATTGACTTCCAAGCTCGACTGTATTGTAGCGATTTGGTGCGTGTGTTTGTCGTGATTGATAAAGGTTATTGCTTTTTGAGGTGGGTTGTTTTATTAATTCTTAGTTGGTTAATTCCTCGTTAAGTGTATTTGTATCGTACTTGTCCGTAAATTAACCAATATAGGCAAAAGCGACTTAATATTACCTAACAGTCGCAAAAAAACCACTAGTGTACCAAACACCAACCGTTACAAAAAAACCTGCCCTCACAAAAACCCATCAGTAAACCCCAACAAAACCAACTACGCAAAAACATCATCACCAATTACCTAAACCCCTTACCCATCGCCCCTAACTGTCAGGACCCGGCCCATCGCGAGGCGGGACTAGTGAATTACGTCATAACAGGCCGATATCAATACCCAGGAGAATCGATACAGGAGGTATCGATTTGTTTGAAATACACTCGACACGTATTGTTCACTCTACCTTAAATATCTCCACCATTCCTTGTGAAGTCTTACACTATCCCCAAACCACAGAGAAACTCCCCAAGCCTGGCCGAGCACGAGATAAACCAACGACATGACTGCAGAGTAAAAGGACGTGGGGAGTGTGGGTTAGTAAGAAGTCTGTGGAGAATATAGATTAGTGAGAAAAGCAGTAGAGAGTGTAAACATGGTAAGAGTCAAAAAGGAATACAGAGAGTGTAGGTTAGTGAGAAGGCCATGGAAAATGTAAGCTAGTGTAGCGACTGTGTTATGTGTTATGGATGTGGAAATGTTGTTAGTATGGCGTAGCGAGATTGTGGTTGTGATTGTGAAGGTGTGAGGATGTGGGTAGTGGGTAGTGGGTAGTAGGTAGTAAATGATAGGTACCAGAAAAGAACACGGCCTAGAGAAGAGAGAAAAGAGAAGCAACTCAACAACAATCATAACTCCACACAGACATATATAATATGTAATATATATTTACAAACAAAACCTCCACACCAACCATCCCCAACAAACCAAACACCCCACCCCAAAACCCAGCTACCCCACCACCCAAAACGTCCCCCCAAATCCCCACCTTCCACCAGCAAATCACACATACAAAGCCACCCACACTAGGCGACCAAGAACAACAAGACCTAAAGAAATAACCTATACATAAATACTGTCCATCCCACCCCTTATCACTACCGGCACGCGTGAAAATCTCATTTATTTATATATTCATAACACTCACTATATTTAAAAAAACTGCAGTATAGTGTAACGTAGAAGAATTGTGTGGTGTGCTGAATAAAAAAAAAATGAAGACGTTAATCAAGCAAGTAAGTAAGCAAGTAAACGAGCAAGTAAAAAGGCAAATAAGCAAGCGAGCACCTCGAGTCGCCATCTTAAAATACCAAGGCCAAGGGGATATATAGGAATGTGTAGTATTATATAGGTATGTAGCGGGGGGTAGATAAGCTAAAGCTATTGGAGGAGGTAGACGCGCGAGGATGAATGGTTCTTCAAAGTCGTTGTATGGTAGGGGAAGGGGATGATTGTGCCTGGGTTGATAAAGGGTGGGTAGGAAGATGGGAGGGTAAGAGGGAAGACGATAGGAGAGGTAAGAGGTAAGAAGAGAACTAGATTAACAATAGAATTAATCCGTCTTCCAAAAACCTTCCGTAATAGTCTAATAGATCAAAAACAAACATTATAAATTTTCATCTACACATCGATACCAACATCTAAAAAACATCAAACATGTCTATACCGCTCATACCTCGAATCCCCTCGCCCCGGGCTCGTCCGGTTAAAATATCCTGTTGTCCCATCTCCATCTCCATCTCCACCAACAAGCGGCTGCCGACTACTCGCATGGTACAGCGCCTCGTTCGTCTCCCCCGGCGTCACCGGCGTCCCCGGCATACCCACACCAACATCCTGAAGCCCGCCATCGCTGGCGCGCTGGTAGCCCTGCGCATACGATGTCCCCTGATCGGCCTCATCAAACCGGGTGCGGCTCGAGGCACGAGAATGCGTGGGTGAGGGGCGGTAGGGACTATAGGGACCTGCTTCGGTGAAGGTGGCAAGGGTAGAGGGGGTACCCGGGCGTGAACTGAGGTCGTCAGGTCGTCCGTACAGTTGGCCGTCGCCGCCGAATTGGTCGCGGAATTCGGCGCGGCGCTTGAAGTTTTCAAAGTCGAGGTCGGATTCGGCGACGAATTCCATGCGTGGGATGTGGGCGTCGAGCGACGAGTTTTGTTTGCCGGGCTGGTCGTGGTTCATTTCGTCCATGTACATGTCACCGTAGCCTAGGGTGGCGGGTCTGGCGCGGTCGGTGGATCGCTCGTGCGGGGCTTCGAAGATGCCGTCGTGCTTTGCTGCTCCTCGATGGGCGAAGACTTCTTTGAGAAGATGTTGCGACTTTGCGTGCACCATTGGTGTGAGAAGCTTCTTGTAAAGTGCTGGGTTGCCGTATCGTATGCCAACCCTATTGCTCCTTCTTTCTTTTACTTCACCTACTGCCTGTCCAGTTTCCATGTCTGAGCAAGGGACTGTGGAGTAGTATACCAACTTGTCGTCGAAGTTGCGCTTACAATACCATTTGAAGGCGAATAGAAGAAGCGGGAGGGGTACCATGGCATACAACATGTTGCCATTCTGAACAGAGTTGATTGAACCGACACCCTGAGCGCCAACAACAAGCGCAATGACGGCATTGGCGAGGAAAACTGCAAAAAGCATGCGGTTCACCAAAAGTCTCCAGAACCGTCCTCCCGACTCTGTCTTGGTGATGAAGACGTATTGTAGTAGGTACGTCTTGAATATACAGTCCATGGCCACATAAAAGGCCGTCACTGGTAGTATAATTGGTTGGAGAGTACCCATACACATGCCCACTGTTGCGACGAACAAGTAGTGATTGTAGTAGTCGGCGTACGGGAATGGTGGTGGCGCACTCAGTTCGATGAGCTCTCTTGGGGTAGGCGAGGAGAATGTACGACGACACCAGCTCCAGAGCAACATCCAGATTTGTGAAATGTCGATAGCCGCACCAAGGTTTCGCAGCATTTGCCATGTGAGCCAAAAGGTCGACACGTTACACAAACCAGTCATGACCTTTGAGAAGAGATGACTGTCACGGATAGCCTCCCAGACGCCGCGATCTCGAGCAGCAATAACGGCAGCTACGAACCGCCAAGCAGATCCAAAGACGGAGAAGACGAGGAGATTGTTGAATACGAAGAAAGCGTACAAACGCGCCGTCACGTGTCGCTCGCGAGAGGTCTTCGATACGTCGCCTGCGTGCGTGAATAGTCGTCGGAATACGATGGGCACACCCATATACATCAACGTCTGGACCAAAGGCGCCACGATACCCTGCGCAATGGCCCAGCTGGTGGGATGAGCAATCAGATTCCTCTGGAAGGCTGGCCACACAAGTCCGAGATGGGAAAAATCGGATAGGAAGATCGAGGTGAGCAAGTTGGGAACTATGAAAGCGAATGTGAACAGGACGATCCAGAAGCCATCCCAGAATGCGCGCATTCGACGAGTCCTGCGGCTCATGGGAAGATTTTGCCATAGTAAGTCGTGCGGTTTCGGGGCAAGGTACACGTCGCACCCCGCTGGTCCCTTCTTCTTGGATGCGTAAGCTACAGCGTGGGCATCCTCAATGTGCGTATAGCTGACAAAACCGTACGACATGGGATTACGCATATCCACGCTTTCTCGAACCGTCTTTATCTTCGTCTCCAGTCTTACGATGCGGTCGGTAAGATAGTCGATAGCATCCAGCTTCTCTTTCCCATGTACAGCAATATCATCCTTTTTGGCCTTGCAGGTAGGGCGCTGGGCTGGCAAGTACTTGGGATCGCGCAAGTACTTGGCCAAATGTTGCTCGAGCTCGCGAACTGCGCTGTCATGGTCTTCAATCAACTTGGGTAGATCCTTGACGTTGCGACCAATGGCTGCACGGGGTGATGCGTTGATCGGCTTCGACTGCTCGACAAGTTCCACCAGCCCAGCATCTGTGCGCGAAGACTTGGGAATATGGGTTAGAAGCAGCGTCCTCGAATGTAGGCTGGCTTTGTACTCTTGGGTATTGAAAAAAGCTCTTCGCAGCTTTAGTACGGCCTTGTAGTTCCGCCATAAGAAGAAGCATACGGTGAACTGGAGGAGATAGGCGACCAGAACAAAGGCCCAGAACTTGGGTCCAAAGATGTATTGAGGTGTGAACCTCATCAGTGTCGGGATATTACTCCACTGCTGATAGAAATTTGACCCTCCCGTCACGTTGACGGGAATGAGGATGCCACATCCGATGAGGGTCAAAATGACGAAGATGTTCCGAATCATTCGTATGAAACGGAGGAAGATGACAGCATCCAGACCGATTGTATCCACTAGCTCCTGCTCCTTCACATCTTTCACTGCGGTCAGCCAACTGAATGGCTTCTTGTCCAGCTCCCGCGGTCGATGCTTCTCGTCGGCATGTTTCGCTCGTGGTGCGTAGATATTCGAGAGTCGCGGTCGAAGGAGAACAAAGAGGACGACGAGCAAGCCGGAGAGAACGAAAGAGTAAACGATGGCCGCGTAAATAGAGCTCTGTTGAACCTGCGCATGTGTTGGTACAGTGACTATCAAGACAAAATGGGACTCTACAAGTCGCCATCATCTACTTACTTGGGCTTGAAATGGATCTGCGATCAAGTCCAGGAACTTGTCAGTACCGCTCTGCCCCTCTGCGCGGCGCACAGCATCCATATTGGAGGCTCGGCTTGCCGGAACGAATGGCGAAAACGAATGACTGTAGAGTTTGCAGCAATTACAACGTGTGAGCGCTTCTATGCATGAAGAACCATGAGCGATCAAAGAAAAAAATAAAAGAGAGAGGAGATCAAAATGACGAATAGGATATCAGAATGCCCCCCTCGCAAGAGACACGCGTAACAAATGTTCAAGGGCTATATTATCTGTTGGGGATCATAACGAAAGCAACCCGCACATGGCCGCCGGGGCGACGTCATACTGGGGTTTAGTCCGAGTGACAGCGAGCTTGCGAATCAGAGCGCTCGGAGCGACATGGGATGGATTCATCTGGTCGGGCAGAACGGGACACTGGACTGGACATGCTAACCAAAGCTTGACGGCTAATTATAGAAGTTTCTAGGAGGGAACATTTGAAAGTTCCAACTTCAACAGGATTGACATTTTGCTTGGCAAAGGGTTCGGCATGTCACACGTGACACACCACACCTGCCCAGGCAGCACCCAACGTTGTACGGGGTCGCGTGCCAATCATGCGCGTGGGAAAGCCTCATCAGGTGAACACCGACTAATGGGCGTCCAGGTCACACTGTGTAGAGAGTAAGTGAGTACACTACACCCATATCCTAAAGCGGGAGTTGTGATTGATTAACTTATGGGCGCGAAAAAGAACGTTCGTTACTGAGAAATGCAAGCCACAATGGTCAACACTAATTAGATATATATGTGTATGCATATGTCTATTCATCCACAAGAAAGCCGTCGAAGTCTACAAGATCCAGCGGTCCCTGTGCAGAGCGAATTGGCCAAGTGGTCTCGAGCATCAAACGCGTCCCGTCGTCTGTATAATACTATATATAACTAGAAAGGTCATTTCTTCGTCTCCACCTCCCACCCTCACATGCGGCTCAGATCAGCCCAGTCTCGCAAAATGCTCCCGAAATACAAAATAGCCGTCGAAATAGGTTCTCTCCCCATGATCGTACTCGCGGCAGCCCAGTTTACTTTTCCATTCGTTGTAAAAGGTAAAAGGCATCTTATCAACAACTTGTGGTACCGTGTGGCTTGCATCATAGCTTGACGCCCCATACGCCACGCCCGCCGGCTACGCCAACCCATTCTCCACCTTGTCCCGTCAGCGCACTTTGGGGAGCCCAGCTGATGTTGCCCACTTCGTAGTCGCACCTCCAGCTAGCATAGGGTCCCTTCTGACCCACAGGCACGTTTTGTGCCCCAGCAGCACCATTGGCACCATGTGCAGCTGCCGGTGCTGGAGAGGGTTGATTAGAAGCATGCTCCCCGCTAATGACAGCGCCGTTGTTGGCATGCAACAGGTCCCATATGAGGACAAGCGAGTCGTCACCGCCAGATGCAAGCATGCCTCTTCTTGAAGGGTTCCATTCTATACTGTTGACTGCCGCAGAGTGCCCTCGGAGTTCAAGCAGCGCTTGACCGGGCTGCCGTACATCGAGGATCCGTATCAGATTCGAGTCGGCAGCGAAGGTGGCAAGCAGGTGTGAATCATGAGGAGATGCGGCGAGACGAAGAAGTGGAGGTGCATACGACATCGTCTGCTGAGCCTTTGTGGGAGACATGCGGCCACTAGTCGGCGAACCTGTTTCGACTGTTAGCCAGCTATGGGGTCGTCACCCGGGCAAACGCATACCTTTGTCACGATCCCCACCCTTGTCAGATGGCTCGTAGATGATCGTGCTGTGTTCCAAGCTGCGCAAGTCAAACATGCGCACGCTACCATCTGCACCACAGCTAACGAATACGTCAACGCTTCCGGCGCAAAATCGAACATCAAACACTTCCTTGTCGTGTGCGATGAGCTGCGTCTTCGCGGTCAGGGAGGGTATGTCCCAGATTGTGCAGGTGGTGTCAATGCTGGACGTGATGATGAGCTTGGGTGACATGGTGTTCCAGTCGAGGGAGGTTAGCGGAGCGGTGTGCTCAGGTGTCTTGGAATTGGAGAGAAGGGCAAGCGGGGTGAGCTTGGGGAGCTGTGGTTCGCGCGTGTTTACAGATGACGAGCGTGATATTGTGTTGCTCATTGTATTTCCAGAGGTTTGCGGTAGGGACCATAACCGCAAATGGTCGCCCGATGTTGCCAGGAGGTCTGTGGATTGCTTCTGTGAGGAGGGCGGCTCCCAAAGGATGCGTGTGACAGGGAAGGAGCATGTGGCTTCAGCGATGGCATTGTACTCGATGCCATAGGGTGTTGCACCGGGCCCCGAGACGTCTTGGGGTGCGATCTGGGTATCTAGAATGCGTATCTAAAGCGGCTGTTAGCTAACAAAGTTAGTGCACTTTGCATGTCTACTCACGAAGTTGTGGTTATCTTCGAGGTAGCTTCCTACGGCCATTTTGCCAGCGCTGTTGCCTCCTGGCACATTCCATTTGCACCAGTCATAAGCGTATATGCTCCAGGGCGCCAGATAGTTGCTGTTCGACGGGACTTTGTTTTGGTCGCCCAGGACAGCGTTACCGTGACCCATACCCTCTTGGTCCATGCTCGAATTCGCTCGAGGTCTTATGTCTGCCAGCCCGAGGGGGGAATTTGATGCGGCGCCAGAAGGAGTAGTAGGGTAGTATTTTTGCGCAGGCGTTCCACTGCCGTACTTGGACTGTTCAGGGGTGTTGGAGAAGGGAATGTATTTCTGATCAGGACCCAGGCCGGCTGGACTCGAGCGGGAGTAGGAATGTGAGGAATGTGGAGAGTGCTGTGATTGATTAATGGTATTGGAGCGCGTTGGCAGCGTGTATTGTTGGGCATTGCTTGCGATTTGCGATTGGGTAGGTACGACCGGCGCAGTGTGCGACTGGCTCGAAGGTCCCGGGCGCGATTGCTGCTGCTGTTGTTGTTGTTGTTGCTGCTGTTGTTGTTGTTGTTGTTGTTGCTGCTGTTGTTGTTGTTGTTGTTGCTGCTGCTGGTGATGGTGTTGTTGTAGTTGCTGTTGTTGGGCAGCACCACCTGCGGGCTGCAGACTGCCAGGAACAGCGGCGGGGGTGCCATAATGGCTATTTTGGGGCGTCCCTTGGTCGACATTGATGTTGGGCGCCGAGCGGTAGTTATCGGGCGAGTTGTACATTTGCTGCTGACTGGCCGCGGAGGACGGCACGGAGGGGTGCTGGGACCCTGCAGTGGAAATATGAAGCTCTTCAGTGGGGCGACCGCTCTGTGCCGTAGCTCTCCGCGGTGCTTCGTAAGACGAGGTTGCGACCGGCGGTGCACTCGAGGAGAAGGACTCGGTGGGCGACTGGAGGTTACCGCTGCCGCCAGGCATGAAGGCGTCGGTGCCCGCACGTGTGGTTCCCTGTGTGGCTGCGCGCAGGTTTCCGCCGGGTGCTCCTATGCCTATTCACCAGAAGGGCGAGGTCAGTCACTGTCTTATCTGTCGGTCTGTATCTCTCTCTCTCTGTGTGTGTGTGTGTTGCGGGAGATGCAAGTTGGGGAAAGTAGTCAACTAAACTAAGGAGCCCGACATACTCCCCAAAGCCGAGGCTGCAGCGAAGATACCCTGCGCTGGGTCGGGCTGCGCATTCTGATGATGGTGTCCGAAAGGCATTGCGCCTGTCGACCGATCGCAGTCGTCGAGTGGATGCGCTGCTGACGTCGTGGCGCGTACTTTTATATCGACAACACCCATCAATGGATGAGTGGATGAGGCTCGCGGTTGACGTTCTGCCCGCTGTCCGCCTGGCTTGGCGCTTTCACCCCACTCTCGCCCATCCATGAACCAACACACCCCACGAACCCTCCAGCCACCCATCACCACCTGGGCACTCCTGGGCACCTCCCTTCACAGTAGCCTGCGTTATTGCAAATAGCGCAATTTTTTCACGGAGGAGAGAGAGTATTTGAATGCTTTGCGAATCATTCTGCCTTCATCAACAACGGTAGCAAAAGCTCAATCACGCAGTCTACGTCGTAGGCTCACACTCAACGTCTCGCTACCATGTCACCAATAATGCAATCGCAATCACATACCCGTGCCCTATTACTGTTGCCACCACCGCCATCGCTCTCGTCGTTTGCGACTCTGAAGGCAGCCTATCACTCTCCTCTCTTCACCGTCTTAAAACAGCTTGCGAGAGCTCCCCACAAGGCCCAGGAGCCTACTCTGCTCGAGATTGCCCTACCCTGTCCGCATTTGTATGGCCGTCTGAGCTCGCCTAGGGGACCACTATATGAGACTACACAACAGCTAGTGGCCGATCTTTACAAGTTGATCACCATCACTGCGAGCAGAGAGGCAATCGACACGGAAGATGCAGAAGGCGTCGATGCTCGCATCATCCTGCTGGCTTACCCAAGATACGGCCAAATGACCGCATCTCTACCAGACTCGAGCCCAGAGCAAGAAATGCAAGGTCCAGCCATCGACATACATACACTAGCTCGAAATCCCAGATCCTGGGATCTTGTGTATTCTATTGAGAGTGAAGAAGGCGAACGACTCCTCAAGAACTTCCTCTCGCTGTCACAGAGTCAGCCGAGAGTCTCGCGCGTTCGTGGTGGTATAGTGAGTGTTGAGAGAATGGGCGAGGAAGCTGGCATCCCTGAACACCCCACCGACCCAGTAAACCATTTTGCTGTGGCCGTGGGGGGAACCTTCGATCATCTCCACATTGGCCACAAGTTGCTTCTCACCATGTTTGCATTCGTGCTGGGGCGGCGATCCTCGGCGGATATGGATGCCAAGTCAAGCGTACTGACGGTTGGCATTACTGGTGATGCTTTGCTGGTGAACAAGAAGTATGCTGAACAGTTGGAAAGCTGGAAGCGTCGCCAGGAGTCTGTGCATGACTTTCTCTCCTCTTTGGTCTACTTTGGGCCGCATGACGATAATCGCATTCAGGTCTTGGAGGTGAATGAGCCAGGACCGAATGGACACGCCGTTCACGTCAACTTTCCCTCTGGCCTCAGTATTCGATACGTTGAGATCTGGGACCCCTTTGGGCCCACTATCACTGACAGAGACATCACCGCCTTGGTCCTATCTCTCGAGACTCGGGGTGGAGGCGCAGCAGTAAACAAGAAGCGTGAGGAGCAAGGTTGGGAGCCATTGGAAGTGTTTGAAGTAGCTGTTCTAGATGCCAGTGAGGAAGACAGGGTGGACGACACGTTTCAGAGCAAGTTGAGCAGCACAGAGATTCGGCGAAGACGAAGTGAGGGTATTCGAGCCAGATCATAGGCATATAATTCGTGGGACAGGATTGGGGCCCGTCTTTCTGGGGGACGACACGTCTCCATGTATGTTTGTTGGGCGCGGGCATTGGGATTCCGTGGCGAATTGTAATCGAGTAGATTCTGTATGTGTGTCTGTCACAGATGTGTCGACGGTACGGAATCAAGATGCAAAGTCCCATAGCTTGGACGGAGGTGTAGAGTAAGCTGCCAGGATCTGTGGTTGTGCGACGGTTCACGACGGCTTGGTGTGACTAGGCCACATGACAGCGAAGGAGCGCATGACGTGAGAGGTGTGTGTGTATGTATGGTCAAGCCATGCAAGTAGGTTCAGTTATGAGGCGTGCATCCAGCAGCAGGGCCGGTCGTCTCGGAGCAGCCACACGATGGCTGGATACAGCCAGATACAGGTCGCATGCGCTGGCTCACTGTCTGGCCAGAAGCTGACTGCGGAACTCTCGCCTGGCAGGGGAGGGGGGGGATGGAAGGTCATGGCGACGACAGGGCGCAGGGACGGGAAGGGTTTGGAAACCGATACTCGGGCGACGACAGGAGTGTTATTATATGCACGACAATAAAGTGACAACGCAGCCGTGGTGGCTCGTCAGGCGGGCTAGTGGCATGGTGGCATGGTGGCATGCAGGCGATCAGAAATCGATGCAGATAGCCGCGCTTTGTATCGGTAGGGTACCTAGTAGGTAGCCTCGCTCCTCGCTATCCACTCGACCCATCATCAGACAGTGAGATTGGGCCTTGGGGGGGGGGTGTAGTATAGTAGGTCTCCAATTTTCTCAGCCCTTTATGAGGCTCCTGGGGGCTCCTGGGCCCGGGATGTCGTCATTAGACAGGTCCCCAGGTTGCCTCTTCAAGCGTGTTGGAGCCATGGCCGTGACGCTGTCATGTAAGTATGTACCTACCACCTGGACAGTCACCGAGTGCAAGGGCCATGGTAGGTCCCGGATGACGGTCCTTGGAGCGGCTGATTGGCGTTGGCAAGCGCTTGACGGCTGCACTGCTTCGTTGGCAACGCATTTGCGGCGGCCAGGGGAGCCGGCAGGGAGTGTTACCATGTAGGTAGAGTATAGGTAGGTAGGCAGTCTGTAGTCTAGTGTGGAGTGGAGTGTGGTCGAAGGGAGGGCTTGAGGGGCTGTCTGGTACAGGATGTAGCCAAAGTGGAGAGAGGCAGTGGGAGCGGGGAGTGTGGTTGGCCGGCTCCCCCCTCGCCCAT